ATGCTTCACCCTATCAACACACAACTTAACGAATTACACCTGTAGACAAGCATACAAAACGATCGACACTTAACTAGACAAATACTAATGCCATTTAATTTGATTATGCATCGAACGGGTTTCCAACCACTACCTGCCTCAATAAATTGAGGTAAACTACACCGGGAGCTAACCGAGTAGGCAAATGTCACATTAAGTGACTGGACGTCCTGCGCATAATAAAAAAATAAAAAGGAAAATACAGCGTCCTGTACTCCCAGTAGAAGTTATGGTCAAATATAAATTCCCATAACTCCCCCCATGTGTTCATACTTAAATTATTCTCTTATTATTTTTGGGGCTTAAATATTGGGGCTTAAATTCTCTTTCTATCCTTAATGATCCTTTCTCCTACTCAAACTAGTCCTTTGACTTTCTTTAAATACCATTGACTTTAAATTTCCTTTTTATAAAATAATATGCCCCAAAGTTTCTAAATAATAAAATAAAATATTTTTAAAATAATTAAATAAATAAAAATGGACCTTTAATTAAAATAATTCTTTTTAAATTAATAAAATACCATAAATAATTCATTTTAAATTATTTAAATGCTTCATAAAATAATGATTTAAATTAAAATAAGTATAAAAATATGTGGTATTACAGATTCGGTCTCAACGGGCTACGAGTCGTAAACAATTTGGTCTCAACGGGTTACGGGTTGGTAACGGTTCGGTTATAACGGGTTACGGGTTATAAATGGTTCGGTCACAATGGGTTACGAGTTGGACCGATTCATGTTTATCGAAGTTTTGCCGGATTTAAACGGTTTTTGGTGTAGAATGGGTCGGGTTACTATCGGGTTCATACGTAATCGGTTCGGGTTGTTTTCAATTTCAGGTTGTAACTGTTTTGCTTGATAACGGGTCGGGTTAGTAACGTATCACACAATTTCGGTTCAGTTCAGTTTCAGGTTAGGAAAAATTGGGTCAGATCGATTTTTGGTTTCAAAAAACGAATATTTAACAGTTCAGTTCCTTTTCAGATCGGTTCGAAATAGTCGGATTTACGGTTTGGGTCAGAAACTAACAGCTCTATCAATTAGTGAACAAAAACATGAGTATTATTTTGGATCAGAAAAATTAATAAGGAGCAGATAACATAGGAGAATTTATTCATCCATACAATATATATATATATATATATATATATATATATATATATATATATATATATTTATTTATTTATTTATATATAAGGATATTATTAAAGTACAGACAAACATGATCGGAATAGTTTAGTTTGAATATTCAGAACTTCAGATTTCAGAAGGCTATAATATAAGCATACAACCAATTGATGACCCCATTTGTATTTAGAGGTATTAAAAACTGATCCAATCGATCTGATCCATAAAAAAACCCGATTCAGATTTTGATACATATTGACACCATAATTTAATATGACCCAACTTTAAAATTGACCCGACCCGACCAGACTCAACCTAACCGAACTCGACCCAAAAAGATTTTGAATAAACACCTCTATCTAATTGTAATATTATTAAACTCATAAAAACAATATACTAACGACATGTGTCACCCTTCAATATGATTTGATGTCACACATGTGATATGTGTCGTCACCTTTCTATCATATGTATACTTATTACTCCTTGTCCCTATTTTTTTGCCCCATTTGACTTTTACGGTCTCCAAGAAGCGTCTTAAAATGTATATAACTTCATTTTTTATATACGTAAAAATTATAAGAACTTGATATTAATAAAATATACAACGAGACAAATATAACAAGATCGCACATTACTATAATATCTCTTATTGATTGATGAGAATTTATGGTCAAGGTTTTTAAAGTTTGACCTATTTATTTGTGATGGGGTAGAATTATAGGCTTAGAGCGAGTAATATATAAAGATTTAAACCACTAGTGCCAAGTGTCACCCCTTTTGATGATCAAACTAGTGTTTAGCCCAGGCGATGCCGTGGGTCATACATTATATATTATTGTATTATAGTTTTCATGTATTATACATATGTAGATAAAGGTCTTTCGTCCCCATGAGATATGAGGTAATAGTTACATTGAATACATATTGAGTTTATTCTTTGAGTATCTTACTACCTCTGATCTGTTACATTTTATTTGCAACAATTAAACATTTCTACTCATATTTAATGTCAAATCGCTGCAAATAATATGAAACGGATGTAGTATTTTTCTTAAAAAAAAAATGAATCTCGTGCTTTTCACTTATATAATTTTTTTACATATTGATAACGTGGTTGGTAATTGACTTAGATGGGTGTTCGAATCTCCTTAACCTTATGTTTTAATATGGAGTAATGTTGGTTTCTTCGGTGATGTGGCGTCATGAGATATTGGGAAGATGATGTGGCGTAATTAAAAAGGGCCTACGTGGCACATCGACCTTCTTAGGAACGCCTTTTAATATATTAGTACAGATTCTTTTAACAAAATATATAATTTTATTGCTAATTCAGTATATGTATTTAATGATGTTTCTTTCATATCTCTATAACTTAATAATATGTTAATGAATACATACCATATTCAATTTTCCTCCTCCTAACACTTTTCCTTTACACATATGAAAATTGTTTAATCATTAAAATAAATAAATAAATAAATAACCTGAGTTTATTTCATACAACCCGTGCATTGTAGGTCCAAAACACTAGTTGAATTGTAATAATGTTTTGTCTCTTTGAAAAACTCTTCATCGGCATAAATTTAATTCTATAATACGGAGTAATATTTAATTTACTTGAAATTCATATATATAACTCCCTATTTAAATTAAATATCCCCTAGAAAATTGCATAATAATCTACCGTCTAATTTGTCAATAACTTACTTTTTAGATTCATAACCAATCAAATAATTATACAGAGTAATACATCAATTATTATCAAATTATGTAAAGTAGCGATCGAATAAAAACTACCACCCAATAATCTTATTCTTTTGTTTATCTAACTCATACATCCATTATAAGCAAATGCATGTTCAGAATTTGTTTTTGATACCTTTTTTTCTTCAAGCTATTGTATTAGTTGATTTTGAACACGTGCCCATAATATACAAATCTCAATTATATTATGCTGGTACTCTGGTAGTACAAATTCAATTTTTTTTATGATATATTTTATATACTTCATTGGGAAAGTAGATCTCCGTTTTCATTCACTTATTTTTATTGTTCAACATTAGACCTTCTAAATTAATTTTGATCAAGTTTATAAATTTATGATGATGCGGGGCATGATCCAGGCCAATAACTAGTTTGTACTCATTTTCAAATGATGAAATTCAATCTTGTACATAAGTACATAACAAGGAAAGCAAAATATCATTGGGAAAGTATTTTCTTAAAAATGGTTATTGTGATAAGAAGTTTTCAACTTTGCAATTAGGCCATGTTTTCTTAACTTTTTTTTCCGAACTGAAATTATTTTCATAAAGCTAAAATTATCTTTAGTGAACTGAAATTATTTATGATTAAACTTATTTTTACTGATTTTCTATTATATCTGTTGTACAAGGTTACTAATTTTTAATGATTAATGTTTATTTTTTCTCAACAAAAAAATTTATGTTATATATGTCGTCCAAAACAGTATTTATTTTTCATTTTTTCTATAACGTTGTAAAAATAGTATTTAAAATATAGCAAAAAAATCTAGAAATCAGACCAAATCGACCCAATCTGAGTTTTCAGTTTGGTTTTATCAGTCTAGTATTTGGGTCTTGAATTTAAAATTTTCGGTCTTTGAGTGTGGTGTTGAACTTGTGAATAGCCAGAGCCCTAGTTTCTAGTTTCTAGCTAGTTTCGATCGATCCTTATGAACAATCTTGTTTTATGGTGAGTAAGGTTGTCAAAAGCTGACAGGACATGATAACCATTTGCGGGTTTGGTTCAAAAATTCTTGATTTGTTTAAATAATTGGGTCAGCACGAAATTAAATTAAAAAGGTTTGGGTTGAATTTTTAAACGAATACATATAACCCAATTATATATATTTAACTTGTCGATTGAAGTAGTAAAAAAAATTGATTTTTTTTTTCTTTTTTTGTATGCCAATCTTGTTAACCCACGTACGACGTACCTACATTATTTGGTGATCAAACTAGTTATTGGTCCGGGTGATTCCTCGGATCACTATAAATTTGCAATTTGTTCAAAATTAAATTTAAAAGGTTAGTGTTCAACAGTATTTATAAGTGAATAAAAAAAGTAATAATAAATTTAATATTAATGGGTGCTAATTTTTATTTATTTTACTTAATAACTAATGTAAATATTACTTTGTATAATTGCTTGACTGGTATAGAATCTAGAAAATTAGCATCTAAGGAATCAACAACCATTAGTGTGCGATTAATGTCTTGCAAATTAAATTGAAAAGTATTGTGCAATTATTTAGGAGTTACATTCTATGGGAAAATTACGAACTTTTCACATATGTAGAGTTTTAGGGTGATAAGTGATGACACATAATGGTGACACTAGCTCTCGTATGACGTAAAATCATATTGAAGAAATGGTAACACATAGCGGTATCATGTTATCCCTTTAAAAGTTAAAAATATTACAGATGTTTTAGTAAAAACTTTTAACAGACAATGCAAAATAATTGGTTTAGGTGGATGAATTCTACTACTCTTCCAATTAAAGTCTTCTATAGTCTAGACTTACCCTTAGTCATCTACCCTCAATTCTCACGCAACTCTACCTCCACCATGATCTCTAATTATATTCATTTTAAAAAATAAAAATATATGTATCTTATAATTTTAATATGAATATTAATTAGTTTGTACTAAACTATGGGCTTGCTTGACAGTTGGCTTTTTCTATAGCTTTTGTCTTTTAGAGATGGTCAAACAACTATAATATATGTTTGGTTATTTAGTTTTTTTGTTGGCTAAAAAGCCAGCTTTTTTGCCAAAAGCTAGTAAGATTAGCTTTTTTATGTTGTATGTTGGCTTTTTATACCTGCACATACAATTTTATTCCAACAACCAACTTTATCAAACATGTTTATTTAAGAGCCAATAGTAAAATAACCAACATAAAAAAAAACCAATACAAATAACTGGTTAGATTAACTCTAGGAAAACAACCAGCAGCCAACAACCAACAACCAATTTCCAAACAAGGCCATAATGTCTTGTTTTAACAAAGGTAGGTGAGTAAAATATTACCAAATGGGCCCTGTTCTTTTGACTTTTTAGCAAGTAGAGCAGAGCAACTAATTCTTACTTAGCATAGCTGAATAGAGTGAAGAGAGCAAAACAGATTTTAATGGAGCAGAAAAGAATAGGGCCTAACTTGTTTAATATCCATGCGAACACGATCCGTAAGACCGCAACTCAAAAAACAAAAAAAAAAAAAGAAAAAAAAAAAAAAAAAAAAAAAACATACAAGTACTAGTGGGGAAGTTTATCTGCTTGGGTCGCAACTCGTTCCTTTAGACCGACCAGGGAATGAGCTTCGCAGTGACAACTCCGCCATTGCCACTCCATTTCAACTCCTCTTCCAATTCTTCGGTAACACCAACTTCTCTCTGTTTCTCTCTCTTCTTCTCTCGAATGTTTGCAATGCTTACGACCCAATTACTAGATTTCAGGTGGCCAAATCTTGCCTTTAAACCCGACAATTCCAACCTATAAATGGCGGCTTCTCATTGCTTATGATGGCACCAATTATGCTGGTTAGTAGATTTCATATGCTATTTTGCTTAATTAATTACAGGTTTATGGTTATTTTTTTTATAGATAAATTATACGGAGTATGATTATTTTTCTTTATATGTTTTATTTGTGTTTTGGTATGCCAATTATGCCAGTTTTTATAATGTAAAGTCAGCAAATTGATTGAAAATTCATGGAATATAAAAGAAGAGGAGAAAGATGAGTGTATTTGTATATGTATTTGGAAAACTATGTACGGAGTATGTTCCTTGATTAGACCTGATTAACCCTGATTTTCACCTTAGCTTTACACCTTAGACGCGATCAACTCTGATTAGTCCTGAAACTTATTTTTTCGGAAGGTGAATAGACTACACCTACTAAGGAAAATTATCTTGGTTGTTTTTTTTTTTTAGCATATGTCTGATAAAGAACATAGCCGTGTTACTAATTTTAATTAATTAATTTCGGGTGGACTTGGAAAGCGGTAGAGGGTTTGCTCAAATGAATAAAATTTCTCCTTCCTTGCTGAAAAATTAGAAAGATTATTGTATACTAGTGGAACAGGATGGATATAATTATTAAAAAAAAAAAGGATGTTTTCCATATAACTTTCTTAAGCACCATTGGAAGGGATGTGATGTTCCGTTGTAAGTGGATCAATATGTTAATAGAAAGACTAGTCTGTTTTGGTTCCTATGATTCGACTCTTTTGAAATTCATCTGACATCTTCATTGGAATTTGAGTAGAAGTGTAGAACAAACCAAATATAATTAGTTATTTTGACGCGTTAAGGGGGAATATCCTTACCTTATTGCATCTTAGCATTAATTTTTATTGTGGCATTTGAATCACGTAACTTAGTTGCACAATAGATGTAGAGATTGATCATGGTGGGAAGCGTTTGTTCTTGTGTAATTGCATTTGTACTGAAGTATGAAGATGACAAACTGTAGTGACTTATGATTGCACTCACAAATGTAATACTTTTGCTTCTTGGGTTTGGTAATTGCATTGTTAAATTATTTGTGTTTCGCTGCAACCCTCCAACTTGATCCAAATTGTGTTTTAGAGCATTCCTAGATGGTGCAACTTAGTAGGATAAATAAAGGTTTACCCTTCTTATATTTCTCTCGAGCTGTTAAGTTAGAAAACTTAAGTTTATAGATGATGCCTAAACAAGCAGTAAAGGATTTTTGTAATCGCTATGTCAAAATAAACGTTGTTTCTGTAGAAATGGCTTATAAGGGAGTTTATTTTAACTTTTACCGTAAAAATACTTTGTACTTAACTTGAAATTGACAAATAATATACATTGTGTTGTATCAGGGTGGCAATATCAAGCATCACCACCGACAGTGCAGTGTGCCATAGAAAGGGCATTGATCAGAATCACAAATTTAGATCGAAAGGATCTAAATGTAGTTGGTGCAGGCAGGACTGATACAGGAGTGCATGCTTGGGGCCAGGTCTGATTTTCACTTTCTCATTCCTAAGGATATTGAAAAGACGGCCTAAGTTGAATGGAAGCTTACATTTGATAGAGAGTTTCAGGTTGCACATTTTGTCACACCTTTCAACTATGATTCGTTGGATGAAGTTCATGCAGCATTAAATGGTCTTCTCCCATCTGACATACGTGTGAGGGAGCTAAGCCCTGCATCGACATTGTTCCATGCCCGTTTTTCTGCTAAGGGAAAGATTTATCGTTATAGCATTTATAATGGTGCTGTCATGGATCCATTTGCGCGTTCTTATGCATATCATAGCTTATATAAACTCAATGTTGCTGTCATGGCAGAGGCTGCAAAGTATTTTATTGGAAAGCATGACTTTTCAGCCTTTGCTAATGCAATTCGTAATGACCGAGTACGGGATCCTGTCAAGACTATATCTCGATTTGATGTCACTGAAAGGGTAATCGTCAAAAATGACCTTAGTAAACTGATTTAATTGATTTTTTCAGTCTTTATCAAATGTCTTGGTATGTATATTGAAGGTTTTACTTACTGAAATGTACTGCATAAGACATTTTGTTGGTTTACAGGGACCTCTTGTGGAGCTAGAAGTTGAAGGCTCAGGTTTCTTGTATAGACAAGTTCGAAACATGGTATGATAAGATCTTAACTCTCATTTGTTAATTCTGCTATTCATTGATGAGCATGTTGGGTTTTTGGAGAACTTTAAGTTTGAATAAGTCCTTTTAAATGATTGCCCAAGGATGATAGCAGCACAAAATGATGTAGACCCACCCTTGTTTATGAGGGTTGATGAATGCATCTTAGAAATAAGCAAAAAAGTTACAATCTCAAGGGCATTTTATACATGCCTGACTTACATACAAGTGTTGAGGGTTTTCCTGCCTAAATAGGGAGTAACGTTTGGCAGAGAACTGCCTGAAGATTGGACTCTTGTTCATCTCTCCATTGTTTATTAGACATTTGTAATTGCACAAGGTGCTTTAGGGATTTATTGACCTACTTGCTTTCTGTAATGAAGGTTGCGCTGTTGCTTCAAATTGGAAGGGAGGCGATTCCACCTAATATAATCCTTGATATCTTGGGAACAAGAGATCGTAAAGAATTGGCTAAATATGCCTTATCTGCACCACCTCACGGGCTTAGTCTAATATCAGTTAATTATAATGAAGAGCATCTGCAGCTTCCATCAAATTGCCCTCCAGTGAGTTTGGGTAGGCGTAGTACTGTAAGCAAATGTAAACTTCCTTATTATTAGCACATTTGCTGCATCAACTGAATAGGTTCAAGAATAACCTGTTACTTGTTCATTCCATTGCTACGTGGCAGATTTGAGCAATGAGCTTCTAGAGTAAAAGCAAGGCTGCTAATTTCAATCTAGTCTTGATGCATGTGAGATATATGGATTAGATAAGATGGGGTAAAAATAATTATGTTGATCGATCTATGCCCATCTGTTCCTCCCTATCCGACCTCCTGTTGCCTCCACTCCGCCCATCAAACATTTTGCATTTTCAACAACTTTACATTCTTCAGCAAAAGTCCTTGGGGGCTTAAAAGGGGGTCGTGTGGGAGCGAGGAGGGGGGGGGGGGGGGGGGGGGGGGGGGGGGGGGGAGGATGACAAAGGGTTGTGGCATTGTCAGAGGTCATTCAAAGCCATCCGTAGGGTTGATGGAAAAACTCCAGAAGCATTTCATTTGCACATCCTTAACACATCCAACTATCCTAGTATTTGAATCTTTCAACCTTGCTGTAACGCTTAATATTTGTCTACTAGATTAGACTTGTGCGTTGTACGATTTAAATAATTTTATTATTGTGCATAAAAAAATAGTTTTTATCATTTATGTAAAAGAGTGCAATTATTTTTGGTTTGAAAAGTATAATGTATAATATAGATTAGATTGAAAAAAAAAAGTTAATAATTGATGACTTCACACATAGAAATGGAGGGAAATTTTTTAATGTGAGAATGACACGTAAGATAGTTTAGAGATTGATGACATTAGTAATATTTTGTTTTAGTAATAGTTAATAGATTTTGCCATATTGAATCGAAGCATCTTTATTAGATTATCCATAAAGCTTCTCTAGAGATCAAACCATCTTCAAACTACACAATAACAAAAATGCTCTCTTCTGGTTGGTGGAGTTTGAAAAATGCGGACGTATAAGCTATGATCTTTATCAAAAAAATTCCCAGAGTTCAAAACTAGACAAATACATTTACAAGTGTTTGACTTAAAATACTATCACAAGTAGGACTGTTCCTCAATTCAAAATCGGATCGTAGACCCGAAATTTGAAAATAAGATCCGGAAATGAATGCGATTGTGCTCTGATCAAACCTAGATCAGACCGATATAATCTATCCAAAACCTGATCTGGATCGATTTTAGACTTTCTTAAATATTTTTAGTTTTATTTACTACAGTATGTATGATACTTTGTATTATGAATAAAAACTTGTCATAAAATAATAAAAAATAAAATAAAAATAAAACTAATTTTTCAATTTTTAAATAAAACAACTTATAATATTAAATATTCCCAACATATTGATGGAGAAAACTAATTTAAGAGGCTTTACAAAATTTTATACTAAAACATAATCTGGTCCAAGACCCATTTTTGATGGATTTAGGTCCAGACCAGAGACCAGAAAAATAACTATTTCTACTTGGAGACCGGATCAGTTCTCTTTGATACTTGGTCTGGACCAGTATATTTTTCTGATCCAGACCAATATTTGAATACCAATCACACTGTTCATGTAATTCTCGAAACTATGAATTCCTGACCAATCACCCAAAAAAAATTGCCAAAAGAAAGCTCAACTTGCTTTCCATTCCATAACTGTAAAGTCAATACAATTGGGAGTTCAAGATGTCTAACAGAAGAGGAAGATCTATATCTCGAACAACCGAAGCTCCATCATGAATTCCTTTTGCTTTGGTGCATACCAAGCAACGGCCTTTGCAGAGCCAAGTAAATGTAAAGCATATTCGATTGCAATTACAGGATTGTCCAAATTTACCTTCCATCCCTGGTTTTTTAAATTTACAGCAACTTCTGAATCAACTCTTAAGCTGAAGGGTCCTACAATCTGCAAAGCAGGAAACACAGATATTCAATCAGTACAGTAAGTGAGAACTGAGAGAGTGCATATTCCACAGTTGTAGGATCAAAGTTTATATTGGAATTGGTACTTAACAAAGAAAAGCTGCGACAATAATAGTAGCCTAGCTGACTAGAACTATAATATGCTTGAATTCTTTGATACACACTAGCTTAAGTTATTTCAGCTTTAGACATGGAAAGAGTAACTTAAATATGTTAGCAAACTACATTTGAGAGGTCAGTGACTAAATCAACATTGTAACAGAATTAGCACAAAACATCTCTGTAACAAATTGCACACCTGTTGCTGAAGAGATAATGTGGCATTCGGACAGGCTGCCTGTACTGCTTCAAGGGATGGCCGTTCAGACTTGTAAAGGTTTTGGGCCAAACATGTCGCAGCTGAAAAGAACTTGGAACCTGAAGGAAAATTTAACCGGCCATGGATCTGTGTAAGATCAAAAGCCTTCTTTTGGAAGTCTCCATACTGGGCTGAGAATGCTAACGATGCAAACAAGTCTGCAAGGACTGCAGATCTCCCCATAGATGCATAAAGGTCGAAGCGCTTATAATCCTTTGGCTGATCATCTAATGGTGATCTTTGTGAGTTATCTCCAACCAATGCAGTTGCGACAACACCTGAAGGAAAGAGCAGATGGACACATAAAACACAATAAATCCAAAAACTAAGATGAACTACCATGCAAGTTTTCACAGATCAAGGTCCCAATATATATTTATAATCTGTCACATCTGATGACCAGATTATTCGCTTCAGACGATATTCAAGGAAGCATAAGTTAAAGGCTATGACTTACCAATAATACCTGTGCCAGAGATACGGGGACCTGATAGAAAAAAATCATAGGGCTGAACATATTTTAGCTTCTTTGCCTCACTTCTCCAGAAGTCTATATTCTTCTTGAAGGAAAAGGCACTTTTAAGATAGAGACCAGGAAGTAAATTGGTAGGAACTTCAGTGGACTCGTTCCCTTCAACTGGCTTCGCTAAACCTGATATATGCTGCAAACACAAGTGGTAGCTACCACCAGAGTCAGAAGTGACAGAAGCCAGATCAGCTGCCAGTGTAACTGGTACTTCCCAGTATTCTCCATACTTGTCAATATAAAGTCCAGGCCAAACTCCCTCCATTGTCAAATCAAGATGAGGAAACTGTAAAATCAATATACATAGCATATATCAGTATTCAGCAGGAAACATATAAGTATGATTCAAGCCAAGAATAATAATAGGATAAATATTCTATTTTGATGCCTAGAGAAATGGGACACATTGTTATCCAGGTGCTGATTAAATACTATTCAATGTAGAAAGAGCAAGTAACCTGACACATTACATCTAAGTATCTGTTAAAGGTGAGCTATCGTGTAAAACTCCATTTGAACGAGGGATATTTCTACTAAATATAATATGATGCCATAAAGTACGAAAATTTCTATAAGTAACCCATGCTTCCATATTCCATATTTAACAAACAGAACTCACAAATAGAGCCCATTGGTAACTTCACATCACAGATTTTGGTTACTAGAATATTCACTGACCAAAATTTTCTTTAACAAAATTATGGATATATTCTGAAAGATTCCAAAATGATCTCAAATACTGTCTTCCTCCCTTAATGTTTCTAACACTCCTTAATAGGCATGTCTAAAACTGATTTTCACATATTAACTTCTTAAAAACCTATGATGGTTCAACAATTTACATAAAGGTTCTCAAGATAACTTTGCTTTTAAAATAATGTGAAATACATGAATGATCATTACATACATTCTTGCCAATGCAAGACTAATTTCCCATTGTGGCAATCTACCAGTCTACCACTATATGAGTTAAAGGTAATATCTTAGTGATTTACAATGTATATCTTAAAATTTAAGATCTCCCCTCCACCCATCCCCCGGGATTGAATAGCAACCGACAGAACAGGTAAAATTATTGCAGCTCAAAGATTGAACTTAATCTTTTCAACGCCCTAAAATAAATTGAACCCTACTTCTGACCAGATCCACCATCCTTCCTTTTTCTCTGTTGGCTCTATTCACTTTCATGCCTCTTTTTCTTTCACATCAAACCACAAAGAAAATGAAGGAAGAAAGGACATAGAAGGGGCAGGCTGCAGATACTGAAACACTCAGCCTCATTGTCTACATACAGAAATTTGCAAAAAGAATCGACAGCCACTGGAGATGAGTGACCAGAGAAAAACAGAAGAAACTTGGAATATCTGGACTCTGGAGAGTGCCAGCTTGCTTAGAGATTTAAATTCCTGAAGACAATCAAATAAGTATTGAATACAAAGAGGGGTAAGAGGCTGAAGACTTAATCGTGATTTGGGGTAGAAGTTTGCAATTATTGCGGAGAGAGAGAGAGATCCGATATCAAGATATTTTGTTGCCTTTACTTGATTTCAAAAAATTTTGCAGCTTTGCCAGATTTTCCCTTTTCTTCACAACAAAACTCTTAAGATTTTGCATGAAACCTAATTTGAAGCATAAGCCTTTTTTACTGAGATTCTAATTGTATTGATACAGATAAAGAGCATAAAATAAGCAGGACATAGATCTCCTCTCCCTCTCCTGAAAATTGCTTTCTCATTGTTCTTGTAAGGAGTCCCCAAAGTATAACATGAAGGGAAATCAAAAGATTTCAGAGATGATAAACCATATTCCATATTCCATATGCCAAACAAAATTACAAATAAGACAATAAGGAATGGAAAAAAGCTTCAAACATTATTAGAAGGCCAACATACTTGCCTTATGATTAAAAACTGCCTTTTTCCGAGCAGTTTTCCTGTCACCTCTAGCTTCATAAGAAAAGTGCAGTTTATCTTCAGGTGTTACAAGGAACTCTGAACAAAAACCATATGCATAAAACGATTTCTCAGATAAGTGCCTTCCGATGGTTTGCAGCCAGGATGATTCTGAGCGCTCCTCTAACTTTGCCTTTCTGACAGAAGACACAAACTGTTGCAAGTTGAACTGACCCAACAAAGTGGTAAACCTGTGTATCTTTGACATATGTATCAATTAGATTGCAGAGTTGAGCTTACTCTGCAAACAAGCCAATTACTTAGCAGCTTCTATGCCATAAAATACAATTTGTTTTAAGCATGTGTAATTCCTTTGGATTCTGAAAGCTACGCACTTAATCTTATAATAGACTCTAACTAAATCCGTCCATATATTGGTTTATTTTTCACACAGCTGGGGGAGTCTCAAGAGTCAATACCTCAAATCAAATTGAAGTTTAAGATATGCTCTGAATTAATAGATCAAAAAGCTTCACAGAACTAGGATTTGAAATGCCACAGCGGCAAACTAGATTAGAATATTATTCAATTCCTAGGAATCGAGCCTGAAAAAAGCCTTTTACTTCAAAAGTTGATGAAAAACAATGCATGTATAAACATTTCAAGGATCACTTACAACTATCATTTTAGTACTGTATATGCACTACTGTTGACTCAATATATCTTATACTTCCACAAGTTGAATTGTTTTGGCTGGTTGCTGGCAAGTTGCAACAGGACCCTAGAATGAAGGACAAACTACTCTCAGGATACAGAAAGAACCCAAATTGCAAAACATGGCATCGGGCTTTTGGAATGCATGATTGAGAAAGAGTCATTAAAAGAAGGAAAATAAGTTGACCAGTTGACCTGCAGCTCAACCATGAAGGCACTGCACTGAGAAAGCTAGTACAGAACACACAAGAAAGCTAGACTTTTTCTTAAGGTTACATGTTGAAGTGCAGGCATAAATATTACTCAGAATATGCTAAGATATTATGACACACAGACTACAAAAATGAAATGAGATAAATATATGAGCATTGTATGGCCAGTAGGTGTGGTACTGGCTTTTGAAAAATGCACACTTACAGCAGGCATTACTACCCTTGACTATTTTATGTGATTATTTTCATTGCCAACTGAAGCACAAGTGCACAACTAATACAACTGCATTTGCTGCTACTGTAACTCGTCAAAGATCATGCAAACACATCTAATTCTTGGTATTTAGAAGAATACGGAACCAAATTAGGACAACCCCTTCCCTCGCGTACCAAAAAAAAATCATTAAATAATCTGTAGATGTCAAAGCAGTGAAGGATGTCATCAGGTTACACCGAAACAATTGACCAAATTCAGAGCTATATAATACATAAGCATTGTACGTAAATGTTAAATCAATTCTCTAGATATTCCACTGTTCTCTACTAGAAAAATAAAGTTGGGCAACTGGAATTGTAATAATGGGAATGACGGAATGTAATCAATAGGTGATCAGCCCTACTCTTCCAACGAGGATTTACGAACAAATCTACTCCACTGATATCAATAGCTTTGCCACCGTTTTCTCTCCTTTCCTTTTTAATCTCTAATACTCCTCCACACAATGTACATTGCTCATAAAAATTATTAGTTCACCAATTTTCTTGGGAACATTGGGGGCTGTTTCGAACTCGATCAAAACCGTCTACATTACCCTATATACCTCTCTTGCTAACCAACATTACCCACAGGCCACAGCTAAAAGGGGCAAAAGAAAAAATGCAACTTCATGCTCATTACAATTTTCTAGAGATGCCAAATTCATCCAACAACACAGCCATTTAAATACAAAATCAACAACAAAATTCACAAAATAAAAATTAATCCCCAATAAAAACCCAATTAACAAAAACTCAATAATTCTTGTTCTCAACATAATTATTTAAAATACCCAAAATTTCCCATAAATTAAGAACAATAACAAAAATATAAAAAGTGGGTAGAAATCAAAATTACCAGTCATTGCCAGAGGGAATAGTGAGAGCACGTTGAATAGAGAAACCATTGCCGGCGGAAAAAGAAGGAACAACGAGAGCAGCCATGAATCTCTGAAAGAAATCGATCTGTTTGGGCCTGGAAAGCCGGGTACCCCTTGAAAGGCCCAATGGAAGTGGGCCATCATTGGGTAAGGGTCGGGCCACACCATCCATTGTAATGGGTGTTGATACATCCAATTCCCAGAATTCTGCTCCTTCCATTACCCATCTTAATCTGTTCATTTTTCCTGTGAATTTTGATAATAGCAGGAGAGAGAGAGAGAAAGAGAAGAAGAAGAGTTTAAAGAGATGAAGGTATTTTTGGGGTGGTGAAGAAGGAGAAGAGTGATATTCAAAGGAACAGGGGAAGGGGAGAGATGCTAGTTACTTACTTACTTGTGCAGTTGTGCTTGCTCGATTCTCTTGTAGCCATCCGTCAATATTTTGTTTTAACTTTTAAGGGATAGAGTTGACAAATCACAAAACCGACTCGACTTAAAATGTCTAACTCAAAACAGCACGTGTGGCCTCTTGTAAAAGAAAACAAAGTAAACTGAACTCCCTCCGTCCCATAATATTTAGGATTTTTGGGTGAACACGTATTTTAAGAAAATACAAGTGAGTCTATTTAAAGTATTTGTTTATTATATAAAGGATTCTTTTGTATTTTTATATTGTAAGAAAACAAAAAGTAGGAGAGTTGGGGGTAGTGAGGAGAGAGAAAATGTAGAATTTAATTGAGTTTTGGGGTTTGTGATCCCAAAGAAAGTGTAGAAAAATATTTTTTTTATTAGTGGTCTCATTCCATATTTAGTAACGTGTCAAGTATTTTGGGACGGACGCAAATGGTAACCGTGTCAAGTATTATGGGACGGAGGGAGTATATCATTAACCGAGTAACCACTATTACTGTTTCGGGGTTTTCTGATGTCCTGCGGGAGAGTTACAATTCCGAGACTGGAACCGGACGCCTGTACCTGCAAAACAAACGGATGCTCCGGATGATTGGAGATCCGCCTCCGACGGTCAAGTTAGTACTTGATTAAGGAGTAATTAATGCGGAAATTAAAGTGATTGGGTCTCTCTAGGTGAGAGTGTTTAATGTGTGTAATCTGCTTTTTAGCGTGTTATCTCCCTTAATGAGGATTAAGGGAGGTATTTATAACCTCGGGAAACGTGTCAATCTAGGTTTAGGTTAACCTTGGGCTGATTGGGCTTCCCTCGGGAGTTGGGCCTAGGTGACCGGTTATCCCAGGTGTCATGGGAAGGACACGTGTCGTGTCGTAATTGGTCCATGGTGGACGGATCATTGCTTGACACGTGGCAGGCTCCCATTGGCCCATGTGACGGACACATGGCGGAACCTGATTGGTCCACTTGTCAGATGGTGATTGGTGGGGAAAAATCCCCTAATCATTTGCCCCTCACAGGTGGCACGTGACTGGTCACGTGTTACCTGTGACAGGTATCGCCCTGTAACAGGCGACGGCCTGCTACAGGTGTCACTCGGCGAGAGTCCGAGAGATTCTCCCGCCAAAATTTTGAATTCTGGAAGTGACCCTTCGCCTTCTCACTTCGCCTATATAAAGGAGTGTTAACTTCGGTCATATTCACACTTGAATACTTTGTGAGAGAACATTCGGACCCCTGAACTTGCTCTGACATTTTGGACCCTTTCTGCCTACCGCCTGCTCTGACAAGCCGACTGCAAAGGATTTTCAGAACTTCATCAATCGTCACTCGTTCAGGTAACCGTCGGTTCTCTTACTCTTAATTTTCTCTTTACTTTATTCTTTTTTGAAATGGCACCACGGAAGCACACGACACGACCTAGGTTAGTGATCAGCCGGTCACCGGGGACGGCTGAATCTAGGACTAGGAGTGTCGCCTGCCCTTTGTCCTTTATACAAAGTCCGACTGTATCTGTGTCTATGTAGAGCATGATGGCCAGAACAAAAAAGACTGCCAGGATCTCAAACTCAGACGGCTCCTCCCACAGGGTGTCGATTAGTGAAACATCTGACCAGGCGCCAGATGTGGAAGTGAAACAAAGCGGCTTGAAAGCCGGCAGTTCTGAGGGAGGAGTCAAAGTGACCCCTTCCCATTTTACAGTTGACAATTCTACATTCTCTCCTGCTCCTTTTAAAGGAGAGGGGAGGAGTCGTCCTCCTCGGACTCGTCAAAGGACGAATCCGAGTCTAGCTCTTCTGACCATGCTTCCCTGGACACAGAAGAGAAAAACAGTCGCCTACAAGAGGCGAGGCTTTCTCACGCAGTTGAGAAGGGGGACGATTGGGCGGAGCCATCCGCCTCTCAGCGAGAGCAAAATACCCAATACTACTGCACGGTACCTCGGGGCCGGATCACGGCCATGCAAGAGAAAATGGAGAGCTTTATCGCAAACCACACAATGGGCCCCGGCTTTTTAGTGTTCGTGCCGGATCCAGAAGACACAGTTGTATGGCCGGCTGGTACCAGTTATGATGGCGCCTTCTTTGGCTACTACGAGGCGGCCATCAAGGCTGGGCTGCGCTTCCCACTACATCCAGCTGTTCAGCGGATTTTGGATGGGTATGAGTTGGGGTTATGGCAGTTAGCCCCGAACTCCTGGGTCAACGTACTCGGCTATGTGGCCGGGTGCGAACTGCACGGGGTGGAGCCGAGCTTCGAGGCTTTCGCCCACATGAACTACCTCAGCCGGACCCCTAAGGCAGGCGGTACCGGCTGGTATCAATTGACGAGCCACAGGGGCTACCTCATGACGAGAGGTAAAGCAAACAAATGGAAGGACTGACGGAGCACCTTCCTCATCATTGAGAGTTCAGACACAGAGCTGAACAAGCGCTTCAACAGGTGGAACAGGAATCCGCCCCTTCTTGCAGGCGGCCGCAGCATGCCGCCTGTTCCCCCCAAGGCTAAGAAAGAGATCCTAGATAAAGGACTCTTCAAAGTAGAGTCGAAGGTGAACTCTACTTCAGGGGTACGAGAGCAACTACCCCTGCACTGCGTCCCGAGCTTCAAATGGCTCTACGACGAGTACTTTTTGGCCGCCTGTGGCCTCAGCAGTCGGTGCTCAAGAGGTAGCCGGCCTGTCGAATACTCTGTTGTTTCATTCATTTCTTGTTATGACTTTTATTAACTTTGCTATTTGTTTTTGCAGCGGACGCCATGAGCAAAATTACCGCCTCCAAGACTGCGGCGGCCATGTTGCGGGCCTCCATCATGCAACAGTCTTCAACCGACTCCCCCAACAAGGGGGCACCCTTGGTGGGCTTCGAACCTTTCACCCTCTTTTTGGAGTTGTGTTTATGCATATACTGACTCTTTTCTTCTTTTTTAGACGGGCGCTCCAAGAGCTTCTTCTTCCCAACAGCCGGACCCCAAGGCCCGGAGGACGACTGTTGCGAGCTCTCCTGGTTCTACCAGGAAACATGCGGCGGCTGAGAAACAGCCGGCCACTTCTTCTAAAACTCCAGCTGGGCCACCTAGAAGTATGAAATTGTTCTTGTAAATTTTAGACTTGCTCCCTTCTTTACTAGGTCTAATCCGTTTGTTTATGCTTGATGCAGCCGGCCCTCAGGAGCCTGACTTGGTCGAGGTGGCCAAGTCTATGATCAAGGCCGTTCCTCCAGCTGAAAGGGAGGCGGTCAGGGGTGTCGGCACCCTTGACCTAGACGGGATTGCAGGGGTCCTTGCTGAGGTATACTTAGCATATTTTTGAGTATTTGAATTCCAGGACGCCTGTTTTCTTTTTGTTTGGAAACTGACGCCTGTTCCCCTTTTTACTTAGGCCCTGCTCCGAGTGAACGGCCTTCGCAAGCCGCTTGACCGGAAGAACAAAGAGGTAAAGGCTGCAAAAGCTATGGCCGCCTCTGACTGTGATAAGGCAATGTTTCAAATTGCCCAAAATGAAGTTCTGACCATTGATATTCTTTATTATCAGGCGCAGGCTACCGCCGCTATCCGGACTCAGTTAGAGGCGGCCCAGAAGAGGAATAGCGAGCTGGAGGCGACCATCAACAACCTCAAGGCCGAGCTGAGACCTCTTCGCCAAAAGATGTCCTCATACGAAACCTTGGAGAAATCCTTGGCGAGCGTAAAGGTACGCCTGGTGACCCAGGTGAAGAGTCTTACTCAGGAGCTCTCGGAAAAGGTCGAGCAAGAAAAGAAAGAGCTGGTCCGGGAGATGATGGAAGACTCTGCTCAAATCCAGCGCATGACTTGGGGCCGCCTCTTCCCCAATGCCGACTTTTCCTCATGGGAAAAAACGTACCGCCAGTGTTCTGATAGATATAATCAAGAGATCCTGGCGGCTGCTGAGGAAGAGGCGTTGGAGGAGGAGGAGCAGCCGGTAGTGGCGCTTGTGCCGCTTGGGGTAATGCATCAAAGAAGGATGCAGCTGAAGCCGAGTCCAGTAAGAAGAGTGCTGACCAGGCGGCAGCTGCTGATATTGAAGATCTGCCCCCTTCTTAAGCTTTATGTCTTCTTTCCACGGCCTGCGTGCCGTTTGTTTGTATTTACCCGGCCAGGGGGCCGGGGCTCTGAATATTTTGTCGGGCTTCTTTTTAATGAATTTTTTTGTTTTGCTTCAAATTTGTTTAAGTATTGAATATTCTGATATCTAATTATACACTATACCGACTGTTTTACATGGCCGATAGTTGCAGACAGGTACGGATAGTTAGTCACGCCGCCTATGCCCCTGGACGACTGGTTGTCTGTTTCCAGGCTAGACGATCAATCGGCCATTTATCCAATCGGTATTCGAACCATTTTAAAGACTGGATCCCCTTTAGGCAGGCGGTTCCGTCATATAAAATTAACCAAGTAGGAAAGTGGTTTCCTACCTGTCATGTTTTTAGGCTAGAGACTTTAGGCAATCTAGGCCGACTGTTCCCCGCCACATTTAATCTAGTGTGAACAGGTGTTGTATGAACACCTTTTTTAGTTTCATACTAAATTTTTAAGGAGTGACCAAGTAAACATGATTGTTACCTAGTCACCAAGTAACTGAGTAGTAGAGGTATCAAGCGGTGGGTACCGGTTGTTCCCCTTTATTCGCCAATGTTTGTTGGATTTTAACTCATAGGTTGTTAACCTAGCAGTAGTGGTTAAGAGCCCCTGTTTCTAAAAACAGGCGGACGACTCATACCTTTTAGGCTCCATACTAAGTTTGAGAGAGTGACTATGAGTTAACTTTGGTGTTACTCAGTCGCCGTCACTCCTGCTTGAGTAGTAAAGGTACCAGGCGGCGGAGGCCGGCTGAACCTTTTGATTCGCCAATGTTTGTTGGCTATTAACTCAAGAGGTACCCCCTTCATTTATCCCAAGTAATACAGGCGGTCATCTGACTCAGATGTCAACTGCTACCACTGGTTTGGTTAGTGATAGAGTTATCCTTGTCTCAAAAACGGCTACGTGGTTG